CGCGTGGGTCATGTCCTGCATGATATTTTGGGCATGAGAAAGTTGTTGGCGGGATGGGTGCCGCGTTTGCTCACTCCGGACAACAAGCGCAACCGTGAGATGACTTCAGAGCAATGTCTGACGCTGTTTAAGCGCAATCCGAAGGAGTTTCTGCGTCGTTTTGTGACAGTCGACGAAACATGGGTCCACTGGTATACACCAGAGACCAAGGAACAGTCGAAACAGTGGACTTTACCAGGCGAAAGTGCTCCGAAGAAGGCGAAGACAGCCCCATTGGCCGGAAAGGTGATGGCCACCGTTTTCTGGGATTCACAAGGTGTGATCTACGTCGACTAGATGGAGAGTGGCAAAACGGTCACAGGGATGTTCTATGCCGAATTATTGGGTCGATTCGATGTCGAATTGCAGAAAAAACGGCCCCATTTGGCGAAGAAAAAAGTGCTCTTCCACCATGACAACGCACCGGCTCACACCTCCGCCGTCGCCATGGCCAAATTGGTCGAATTAGGCTACGAACTGCTGCCCCATCCACCGTATTATCCAGATTCAGCCCCGTGCGACTTCTTTTTGTTTCCAAACTTGAAAAAGTCACTCGCTGGGCAGAAATTTGAATCGAATAAGGAGGTAATCGCTGCCACGGAAGCCTACTATTCAGACCTCGAGGAAACATATTTTTCAGACGGGTTAAAGAAGTTGGAGCTTCGCTGGGCCAAGTGTATCGAACTAAAAGGAGACTATGTTAAAAAATAAAACGCCACTTTTCCAAAATTTTCGTTTTTCTTTTGTAGGCTAAGTACTTATCGGACCACCCTCGTATATCACAGAGACAACCTACTCAATCGAGTGTTGAAATCAGATTGCGGTAGCTTTTTCCGTTTCCTACCTCAACACCTTCGCTCGGCCATTCCTTCCTTTCGGCTTTTCTCCCTCTGGTGTCATGGCGTAGGCGTGGCTTCTAGAGCCCAAAGGGAAATTTCTGCGCACTTTCTTCCTCTCCTCTCTCGCTTCGCTCGTGGATTGCTTGACAGCCTCGGATTTACACGATGGCGAGTTTCGAGTTGTACGATCCTCTCTAAGAACTGATTCTCGAGTTCGTGGCAGCCTCAAGGCAATTCCTCAAGCTGCTGAGCTCATGGTCCTGACTATTTTCCTAGCCATGCTCGTCAGGACGAGCGAAGCCAATGAGGAGGATTGAGTCGATGTTAATATCTGCTATTTGCCCGTACCATCGGCTGCTCTGAATCAACCCTTGATCTAATAGTTGTCTCACTTTACACGCATTATTTACCGCATCACATAGAATTTCATCATTCACTTTCTCACGTAACAATATTTTGCTCATTCAAACCTTTCCTCGTGCGCTCATGTACACTTTGGCTGTTAGCTGTTTACATTATTTTCGGAAAAGAAATATTTCCTAACGTCTGTTTCGAGCGATCTTTATTCAATAATTGCCTAAACTCATGGATACGTTTGTCGGTCATAAACAGCGATGCCCCGGCGCGTCGTAGATTCATGAGGATATAATGGTCGAAGCGTTTATGCCGGTCGACCTATTTTTTTTACAGCATAAAGGGAGAAAAGGTAAAACTCCTTTCTTGGATATATTGGCGTTACGTTTATGGCGTTCATATTCGGCTGCACTCGGTTATAGGCTTCATCGGGAATTGACAATTTCAAAAACAAAGAACGGAAAGGAAAGAAACGGAATTTTCTTTCGTTTTCGGTATAACTACTCACCAGATGTTATCGTTTTGGCTTGTTCCCGTCTCATTTGAAATCTGTCGGTAACAACAAAAAATAGCCCTCTGAACAAAATAATTGCAATACAGTACGAAAAAGCAGAATGATGTAGCGATAAATTAGTGGACCATGATAATAAAGTTGAATGAATATTTATTGCAGATATCAAAAAATTTTTACAGTAAAACCAATTTAGTATTTATTCATTAAAATAAAATTCATCTAGTGCTTACACGATTACTAACGAAATATTATTAAATCTTACTATTACAAATTACTAAAATATGAATTTTTCTCTTTAAATAAAGGTTTCAAAAAAAGTTTTTTAGACCATTGAATGCAAAATCATAATTATGGAAAATTTTTCATATCTAAAATTCAAAATTTTTTATTTCATGGATAAAAACTATGGAGTTCCATGCTAAAAAGTAACGTTAATCTTTGAAAGTTCTTGAAGGCAATGGCCAAGGTCATACCCGAACATAATATTTTATGAAATTTTCAATTTATGCATCGAAAGTATGAGATTCCATTAAAAAAATCACTTTGACCTTTAAATGACCTGAAAAGTTATGGTCAAGGTCATGGTCAAGGTCACCATTAGATAGCGAAGAAAAAATCCTATATCTTTTATTCGAAACATGTTTCACTAATATACAGTCCTGCCGAGTGATTCCGCCGTTTCGGGATTTTTGGATCTCATTGTATAAGGACTTACATATGCGCAAATTGCACCTGTAATCTTTACCACAAGAGATCTCACAAAATAATATTATGACAGCGGACCGTATAATTAAAAAAAAAATTCTTAGTATTAAAACAGATGATGGAGTGAGAACCGTTGCCCACTAGCGAGGGGAACCAAGTTAAGCATCACAGAAAAAATGTTCCTTGATAGTCTCCAAATGGCAATAAAATCTGTACCCAGAATTCATGTAAGCGTGCGTTCTTTTTTTAGTGCGTTCTTCCGCCCAACGCGCCCTCACGTTTGCATGCAAAAGGCAGGCAGCCAGATTTTTACATAAATATAAACCAGGTTCAGTAGGCACACTTGACAATTTTTCATCACACATACCAAACCTCTATACGATTTTCTATACATATTTGGATTGACTTATCTTTAATGTGCTTATCTTTAATCTTTTACGCGATCACGCTCTATTTCTAACCCGATATATCCGTTATATATTAGCACGCTCTCGATTGCTTTTACATTTTCACTAATTAAAAGACCGTCATGTACATACAACGCTAAATAAACAAGAGAGTTTTCAATAATGCTGATGAATACGCACTGATCACTTTCAACACTTCTAAAATTCAACTTTTATAAAAAACTCACGAACTTTTTATTCCAGCAGCGCAGGGATTGCTTCAGCCCATAGAGGCTGCGGTGTAGCTTGAAAACGAGGTCCTTGTGATCTTCATTGATGTGTCCTTCTGGCTGCTGTATATATCTTTCTTCGGAGAGTTCTCCATATAAGAATTCAATATAAACTGTTTTATCAATATTGAGTGACAGCTTATTAAGGGCTAACCGTTTTCCTGCTATATCCAATTAATTGTTCATATTTGTTTCTATTTCTTCCCAATTTTCACCAGTTGAGATGACTACCGTATCATCAATAAAAGAGAGAATTATATTATCTGGCAAGTTTGTAAGATGTAATTTATATAAATTATGAAGAGCAGTGGTTCTAGGATTTTACCGTAAGGAACTCCCATCTAAACTTCCTCAGTGTTGCTGAGTATATTGTGAATTTGGCTCTTTGTTTTCGTTTGCTTGAATAGCTTTAAATTAGATTGTGGATACTTCCTCTTATACCATAATTATATCATTTATCACGTAAAATTTTATGATCAACCGTATCGAAAGCTTTGGCTAGATCGAGAAAGGTAATAACTATGGGATCACTACAGTCCAGTTGTTTATAAATCAAAATTAATATATACTGTTATGTTCGAATAGAATTTGTTATTATCTTAAGCTAATCTCCATCTGAAAATTACGCGGCGCAAAAAAAATTTAAAAGCGAAGGGGTTAGAGCAGAGTGACAAAAAACAGAGAAACATTGTCTCATTTTTCTTCCTTACCTGCAAGTCACTAGTTCTAATTGAACTAATTGCCTTTAGTCACATGCTGTTCTCCCCTCTTTACTTAACACTGTCCCCGTGTTTCCGCATTCCTCTTTTTTCTTCGCGCTCTCTATCTCTATAGCAGTCTTTTTTCAATACCGGTCCACGTTTTACGAATATCCATTCATTACAGTTGGGCAATTCTTGGCTATTTCAAACAGTTTAAAACATCAAATCACCAATTTTGTTCAAAGTTGGTAGACTTATTACCTATACAGAGGTCAACATCTGTGCAAAGTTTTAGATCAAAATATTGATAAGGGGCCGACTTATCAACTGTTGAAAAAATATTGGACTTTTTTTTATTAATTCGATTTCTCGGAGACTAGTAAAGATATGGACATGATTCTTTTTTAAAAGACGCAGAAAGTTTCACTTTTAAAATGTAAGTAATAAAATACCAAATCATTTATTCGTTAAAGGCATTTGCCGCTAGCAACGTTGGAACCGCACGAGTAAAGGACGGCCGAGCGGCTGAGCGGCTAGCGCGCGGTTCGTTTTATTTTAGTGCTGTCTTAATTCTAATAGGGGGCACTTGATTTTCTCAACGGTTTCTTATGTAAAACATGACAAGGAACACGATGGTGCAAAAATTAAAAAAAAATATATCGTTTTTTGAGATATCGTCGATTTTTTGAAAAAATTGTTTATAACAATGACATAAATAAATGATTTGGTATTTTACTACTTACATTTTAAAAGTGAAACTTTCCGCGTCTTTTAAAAAAAGAATCATGTCCATATCTTTACTAGTCTCCGAGAAATCAAATTAATAAAAAAAAGTCCAATATTTTTTTAACAGTTGATAAGTCGGCCGCTTATCAATATTTTGATCTAAAATTCTGCACAGATGTTGACCTCTGTATAGGTAACAAGTTTACCAGCTTTGAACAAGTTTGGTGATTTAATGTTTTAAACTGTTTGAAATAGCCAAGAATTGCCCAGTTGAAAATAATAGTCACCTCTACATCTTGACCATAATTAAAATATAGATCGTGAAAAAGCTTCGTAATCTATAGAAACATTTTAATTTTTATAAAAAATATAATTATAATAGTAAAAAAACTTAATAAATTTACAATATTTTGAATTTGAATTAATAATTATTACAATTGTTTCAGCTTCAAAACTAAGGGAAACTTAACAAAGCATATGAAATCGAAAGCTCACTACAAAAAATGTATAGAATTGAGAATAACGCCGGTACCAACAAGTGTATGCGACGAAAACATAGATAAAGAGGCTCTAGATAAGTTAGTATTAACTGGTGCATCGATAGATGACACATCATCTTCTGAGGATGAAAGTGAAGCTGATGCAGAAGGTGAGAGCGATGAATCTGGCAATGAAGAACATGAAGCAGCGCAAAGCTTGCTAAGATTGGCAGCGCGTCCTCGACCAAATAATTTTCTATTTGCATCAAAAAATAAAAAATTACTAGGGTTACTCTCTTCAAATCGTCCAGTTGCTTATCCATACAATAAATTACAGTTCAATGTAATAAATTGCGCTGGTGACAAAATAAAGTGTTCAATTGGTACTCAAACTGCTATTGATCTCACAACTACTAAAACGACGCAACAATTATCTGATCAACAAAGTACAGCAGAAATACTGAGTGGTCCAGTTTCAGGCTCCAAGCTTTTAAGAACACTTGTACAAAGTATGGAAAGATTACCAATTAAAAACTGTAACTGGCAAGTTTCTGAGGTCACCCAAGATCAAATGTTCAGAGCATACCTTACTGAACGCCACCTTATGAATAGTAAACTCAAACAACAATATCGTACTACAGTACCTTCCATCAAATCAGTTATTTCAGAGCTTCGGTTTAGCAGGGAGCATAAAAAAACAGAGGTTCATCACGAGAGTTATGAACTCAAATCACTTCACCAGGTTAATTTAGACTCAATTTTACCGGCTCGAAAAGTCGTAGTTAATAAAATGGGTTTCACGTCTTCTTTACCGCATAAACCAAACACTGAACTTTTTCAATCAAGTCTTGCTGAAGAAGCTAAAAATGTTTGTGGTGTTTGTAGTAAGGTTTTTAGTAAACCAAGCCAACTCAGACTTCATATTAACATCCATTATTTTGAGCGACCTTTCCGTTGCGAAAGCTGCGGCACGTCTTTTCGCACTAAAGGTCATTTAACGAAACATGAACGATCGACTTTGCATCAAAATAAGGTAACTGTTAAATTTATTTCTTTTCTTGTATAATGCAATATTAAAATGTATAATTTTCAAATGGGCATATAACATAGGTAAACATGACATCAACGTTCGGTGCTGCAACGGCTAGTAATCCTCGCCCCTTCAAATGTATTGATTGTAAGTCAGCTTTTCGAATTCATGGTCACTTAGCTAAGCATCTTCGTAGTAAAATGCATATAATGAAGCTAGAATGCTTAAGAAAATTGCCTTTTGGTACTTATGCAGAAATGGAAAAATCTGGTATAAATTTGAATGATATTGATACTACTGACTGTGATACTAGTCTTTCTAGCCTTCAAGTACGTATGTTTTATTTAAATTAACTGTTAATTGTTAATTAAAATGCTTTTTGAATGGTACTCATTTTATTCTATTATTTATATAACATATTATTTGGCATTTCAGATAATGGCACAAACGCTGTATAAAAAACAGCCCAATCAAATAAATCACTGTCAATCTAGTACAATTGTCTCGATATCAAATAATGTGTCAGAACAAACTTCAATTTTATCTGCAAAAAGTAGTGAAGCTAGTGAAAGCTCTTCTGATGAAGGAGGAAAAGACTCTACAGCATTAATTCAATCTGAAATTAATTATCCATGTTTTTTAATAAACACATGCCAGTCAAACAGGTCAAACGAAACAAGTTCACAAAATAGTAAAATAAATTATCAATGTCACATTTGCACGACATCTTTATCCAATTTGGATGATCTGAAATCACATTGTTTTGAAGAACATCGCATGAAATCAAGTATTACCTCACAACTTTTCTGTAATAATGCTCCTGAATTTTCAAAGAAACTTGAAAGTAGAATCATAAACAAAGAAAATACTCAACGACTACCAATTATTAGTGGACCTACGATAAAAAAAGATATCTAGGCTAAAAATACAATTCCTATTTAGTGCCAAATCGTATAATTTTATTGTTAATTTGTTAACATTAGTAACACTTGGCTCATTAAATTAGCAGAAAACTCAACGATTTTTAAAAACTAGAATGTTAATCTACGTGAATTTCATGAGATAAGAGATCTTTTTTATAAAACATTCTTTGATATTCTGTAGTGTTATTATGTTATTGTATAAGTTGTAAAAACGTTATTTCGAAAATGAAATTTCACATTATGTTTGGATGGTTGTTATTTGGGCTTAATTCTTTCTTTCAAGTCATTATTTCAGAACATGTATGAAATTTTATGAGATACTGAGTGACTTTTTCTAATTTAAAATTGTTTTAAATTATCTGAGAAAACAAAGAAAAATTATTAAGTGTTTTTTTAATTAAGTATTTTAAATATTTCATACCCTGATCTACACGAATTTGTACAAGAACATGTCACGATGCTCTGTTTGGAATGTATAGACATCTAAAAATAATATACTACCGATCTGAACTCTTTAAAAATTATGTATAAGTTTATATAGTAATATTTTACATAACTTTAAACATAAGTAAATCATGTTTAGAAACATGTGCAATAAGTAGAAATAAGTAAATCATCAAGTAAATGTTCATCGATCAGTGAATCGTCTATATTTGTTTAATGTTTGTATTTTTTAAATTAAAATTTCTTTCATCATCAGTTTCTTGATTGACTTGTCAAATATATCTATCCCAAATATTACAAATTTATTTTAATCTTTTAATTAATAGATTATTAATTTGAATTTTCGATTTATATAAATAATATCTTTATGATCTTGATATGCTTGCTTACATATTTCAAAAAATCTTCAATATTTTTCATATCATCATTCGTTCATGCAAGTAATTATAGAAATTGTATAAATTGTAAGAGTTTTAAAATAATGTAAATTGTAAAAAAGTTTTAGAATAACGTTATAATAAACCACCGATATCAGCGCATACATCTGTACCATGACTACACTGATTCGCTAATTATCTACAGAATTTTTTAGTAAAATTAAACATTTTTTATTCGAGAATCCAGATTTTTATTCTAATTCGATTTCATATTGCTGGAGCGCTTTCATTCATTTATTTTTATCTATTATAAAAAAACAATTATCTCATGAAATTTAATGTGGAATAAATTTAATCAATAATGATTCCTAATCAAATGAAATAATAAAAAATTAATTACATAATTATTCGAAAGCTATCGATTTTTTGTTCGTTGAATTTCTACGGGAAGGGCTACTGATACTTTTTTTATCGCATCTTTTAAAAAAAGAATCAATATAATAATATTATTTATAGTTCTTATTATAACTTAAAAAAAAATTTTAAGTCGACTTATTTTAGAGCCTGTAGATTAGTATGAAAAAATTAACATAAGTTATTTGTTTATCACAATATCCTTATTTTGATGATATAAAAAGGACAAGATCGTACTCCAAATTACCATGGTATTTTTGATTAAATTTTGTAGTACCATTTTATTGCAATTTATTATTGTACACTAACTTATATGAGTGAAAATTTAAAAAATAATTTGTGGAATACTTATTAAAAAACTGAACGATTACTATGAAGCATGAAATATATCTATTATTATTATATCTGAAGCGTTGGAAGCACAGAATGATTATACACCTTCTCATTATCGCAGTAAATGTAAATTTACCATGTTCACAAGTAAAAAATTTATAGAATTCCTACATTTTTCGAATTTATTTTTAAAACTTTATATTTTTTAAGAAAGATACTTTAACGCTTATTTTCGTAATCACTAATATATTTTTATACTATTTAATTAATCTAAATTATATTCATTTGTAAATGAAAATCAAAATAAATTAAATGTAGTATTTTACTATCAATCACATAAATTGAACTTCATTTCATTTCTAAATATATTATCACGATTTTTTGATTACATTTTAACATAGACTATCACATGGAAAGTGTATTTTTCGAATCTAATATTCACTGATTATATATTTTATTAGAATATTGTAGTATGTACTATGCATTTTCGTATCCTGAATACTATAGAACAACTACAAATTTTGTATAAGTTATAACTAAATTAATTATTGATTAAAGAAATATTTTCGAGATTAATTTAAATTGAAATAATTTATATGTATAGTTTTTTTATAAGGTCTATTAGAGAATGTTAGACTGTATGCTAATTGTGAATTAAAAATGTACATGTAAATAAAACATATTTTTATCTATTTGATTGGAACAGAACAGTCAATGGACAGATTTATAAAACCTGAGCTACAATTTCTATTGGAATTTATTGTAAAAGTTAAGGTTTTCTTAAAAGAATATAATAAAAATTTTACTTTACTTCTATTTATATTTAATTTTTTCGATAATATACACAAAGATTTTGTTGGTAAGGTTTTACATTTGTATTACTGACTTTTAGCTTAATCAAATATATTAAGCTTCAGTATTTATTATTTTATCACTATTATTATAAATTATTTTCTAAAATAAGCAAGATTGAAGTACGTAAACTATGTAGCAATATCGAATTTGTATATTTTCTCTCTTTGGTGGTTTTTTATTTTATGATAATCCATTTTAGATATACCGAGGCCAAATGTACTAGAAAATTTTGGAAAAGCTATGTATTTTTGGAAAATTTTATTTATAATTATTAGTGTTGATATTCAAATATGAGTTCTTAATCATAAAAGCGAAGGTTAATATCGCAAAGTATTATCTCTTGATTTATCAAATAAAATTATACAATTTTTCTTTTCCTTTTTATTGATCTGAGGTTGAATTTAGTTTTACTAAATCGATAGGAATAAAATTTTAGTAATTCGTCCAAGAGAGATTTAACAGTATTATTGAAACCTATACGAACTATGTTAACACTATTCAGGTGACATACTCGTATTTCTATTCTCCGTAAAAACTACTTTGGTGAAGATCAATTTTTTTGCCTAAGTAAAACTAATTGACGAATCATTACGTTGCTATTCGCCATTTTATAATTCTTCGTCTCTTTCAGTTTGAATATCTAAAAAACCTAATGTGACGAATAGATTCTAGAAACGACATTTATTTGGCCAATAACAATTACAATCCTTCATTTTGCGGATCTGTGTAATTTTTCATACCATCATATTTGAAAAATTCCACTTCTCCCGAGAAACGGCTCGTCACGGTCAAAGATCCTTTACTCTTTCATTAAGATATCATTTTAGTGGCCTATATGCTAATTTGAATAGGTGTAGTGCCCTTCGAATATCCCGGTCATTGGTCAATATGGAAATTAGGGAAGTCATAGTGCCCTCTTTTTCTCTCCTACCTCATTATTATTTTCCGTCTCATCCCCCCTTCTCCACTAAGTTAGTCAGTATTGATCGACGAGAAAGATCTGTCCCTATTCCTATTTATTTTTTGGTGCGCACACCTAGCCTGAAGCTAACTTAACTTTCATCAAAATGGTGACGCATACGGCTCACGGGGATCGATTGAGTGTTAATTATAAACAATAAATCCGTTCACACGAAAATCCTAGCTGATCCTATTTTCAAATTATGAGCAATAAACAAAAATTTTATCGAAAAATGCGAAAAATAAATAATTAATAAGTAAAGAACTAAATAAATATGTATATACACTTTTATACATCACAGAATTTATATATATATATACAGTGCCGCTCACGCACTTTTACCCCCCCACGGGCAAAATCAGTCTAACTTCAAAGTTTTATATCTCTGGTAGAAATTAACGTACAGAGACGCGCGTGGATGCGTTTGAAAGGTCTTTCGGAGAGCTTTCAAATGATATGACTCACGGTTGCCATCGATTGTTTTTTTAAATTTTGCAACAATTATGCAAAATTGAAAATTCTGAATTTTTTTTATTATTTTTGACAATTAGCCAATTTTGGAAAAAAAATCGTACGAAAATTTGAAGTACACCATTTTTCAGCTATTACCAAGCCCTATCTGAATCACTCATCAAAAATTTATTTTCGTCAAATATGACGCGCGCACGGGCATTTTTTCCTGGAAGTGACAGTTTTTTTCAACATTTTTTATCTCCGTCAAATTGTAACAATCGAAAAAAATTTATAGGAGAAAAAATGTTTGTTTTTTCACGTAGAATACTGCAATAATTTTTTTTTTGGTTTTTCGAAAAATTTTTTTTTTCGGTTTAAATTATTTTTCAAGGTCGAAAAAAAAAAAATTTTTTTTTTATGTAATTTACGATACTTGTTATGTAGTATTACCGAATGGGTGAAAAAAAATTATTGCAGTATTCTACGTGAAAAAACAAACATTTTTTCTCCTATAAATTTTTTTCGATTGTTACAATTTGACGGAGATAAAAAATGTTGAAAAAAACTGTCACTTCCAGGAAAAAATGCCCGTGCGCGCGTCATATTTGACGAAAATAAATTTTTGATGAGTGATTCAGATAGGGCTTGGTAATAGCTAAGAAATGGTGTACTTTAAATTTTCGTACGATTTTTTTTCCAAAATTGGCTAATTGTCAAAAATAATAAAAAAAATTCAGAATTTTCAATTTTGCATAATTGTTGCAAAATTTAAAAAAACAATCGATGGCAACCGTGAGTCATATCATTTGAAAGCTCTCCGAAAGACCTTTCAAACGCATCCACGCGCGTCTCTGTACGTTAATTTCTACCAGAGATATAAAACTTTGAAGTTAGACTGATTTTGCCCGTGGGGGGGTAAAAGTGCGTGAGCGGCACTGTATATATATATATATATATATGTATATATATATATATATATAATGTGATATACAGAAACGCATAAACACTATATGTAACCAACGCTTGCAATTCAAAAGAAATTCTGATAAAAAAATTGAAAAATCGAATAATGCATTTTCAAGGTATTTATCTAACGATTTATTATTAGATATTTTACCACTTTTAGCATTACCCAGGACCAACGACGAAGACGTAGTGGCTGTCTGGTCCCATATTTTTTAAATCTGATAACACTCAACTTCAAATAATTAACACTAAAGAATAATTTCATTTCAACAGTTTAACAAATTTTCCATTTAAATATGCCTTGATGAGCACTCAACAACAGCACTTTTTAATCTTAGAATGTAATTAGCACTGTTCAGATAATTTATTTTATATTTTTCCCAATACTTATTGAACTCGTGATGGATCGACTCGCCAGCTTGTTCTAACCATATACCTAATCCATCGTTATCAATAAATACAACGCATTCTTCAACATGAGTCAACAATATATGCAATTTTAATGTTTCCGAGATATTTAGTATAGCATAAAAACATTTTTTCAATTCTTCCAAGCGTAAGTGTAAATCTTCTGAAACTTTTTTTGTAGAAAAACAACCATCAACAACTTTGTTCATTGCATTAAATGCGCTGATGTAGGGCACATTTCATTTCACTTATCACAGAAAATTGTAAACTACGCAGATACAGCCACGAATGCGACTCACAGCAGAATGAACGAATTACATATATTTGACGAGCGTGCCTACCTCAGTTTTGTCTTGCGAAGAATTCAGCTCATGTTTGTAAACAACACTAAGTAGATGTGGGTAGAATAAGCAGCGATAAGAAATAGTATTTGTGTGAGTCGATATACATATTATGTATAAAACATCCTCGTCGTTAGTGCTAAAATATCAAATAATGCATCCTTAGATGCTTTTTAATTGCAAGCGGTGGTTACATATAGTACTTATGCGTAACTGTATATATATATATATATATATATATATATATATATATATACAGGGTGGCCCATTTTAAGTGATCCACTCAGATATCTAGATTGGAGTAAGTTTCATCGAAAAAAGTTTCAGACAAAAGTTACTCAACTTTGAGGGGGCCATGTTTCTATGACCTTGGATTTGACCTTGGAGGTCATGTTCAAGGTCATTTCAAGGTCAACTTTGTTTTTTTAAATAGGAACCCCCATTTTTGACCCCGGATTCGGAAAGAGCGGGAAATTTTACGTCCAAAACGGTATTTTAAAATTTTTTTTCATGGCCTAGAGAAGGTCGATTTAAGGTCAAATGCTTGAAAAACTGCCTAAAAGCGTTTTTTTAATTTTTAAGATATCGAAAAATGACCTCTACAAAGTTTGTTCAGAATAGAGTGGGCCACCCAATGCACCAAAAACCTTTGACCTTTAACCTCATTTTGAAGGTCATTTCAAGGTCGAAGTGTTTTTTGTAATGGAAACCCCTCTTTTTGTCCCCGGATTCGCACATAGCGCGAAACTCAACACAATACCTTATCCAAACGTCGGATTTCGCGCTATGTGCGTATCCGGGGTTAAAAAGAGGGATTTCCATTACAAAAAACACTTCGACCTTGAAATGACCTTCAAAATGAGGTTAAAGGTCAAAGGTTTTTGGTGCATTGGGTGGCCCACTCTGTTCTGAACAAATTTTGTAGAGGTCATTTTTCGATATCTTAAAAATTAAAAAACGCTTTTATGCAGTTTTTCAAGCATTTGACCTTAAATCGACCTTCTCAAGGCCATGAAAAAAAATTTAAAAATACCGTTTTGGACGTAAAATTTCCCGCTCTTTCCGAATCCGGGGTCAAAAATGGGGGTTCCTATTTAAAAAAACAAAGTTGACCTTGAAATGACCTTGAACATGACCTCCAAGGTCAAATCCAAGGTCATAGAAACATGGCCCCCTCAAAGTTGAGTAACTTTTGTCTGAAACTTTTTTCGATAAAACTTACTCCAATCTAGATATCTGAGTGGATCATTTA